ACTGCCAAAATAAAGACAACACTGGAAATCCTGACTCATACTGTGTTGTTAGCTGGATACTATAGTGTACATCACTAAGAGAAAAAAGAATTATGTTGGCTCTGGTTGACAGTAAGCAGCCAAATGAGATAAAAACTTACTAACCCAACACTGAATACACTCCCCTCATCACTGCTACATATCCTTTTTTTCATAATGGCTCCATTACAGAAACTGGGTAAAGGTCACCTGCTATCTCTGTTACTGATGGATAGCAGACAGGTGTCAAATCTAGTAATTTTGTAATTCATGAGTCCTTTTATACATTATACATTTTAAGGACTCTGAACACCATTGTATATATTCAGTGTGTGTTTGTGTCAAAGCTTTGGTTTATCTGTTTTGTGAAACCCAAGCTTTACCACAGAGGTAATATCCAGAAACTCTAGACATAAACACTGTAGTAAGGTCAGAGAGGTGAATGCAGTGCTGTTTGAGAGCATGGTCTACATGGATATACTGAATAAATCAAAGGTGCTGTTGCATTTGGTGAATTATCTACAAGTTAAAATAAACATTAGATTTTTCTTTTCAACCTTTTTGTCTTTTCACACCTTTTAGGGGTTCCAAAACTCTCCTCCTACGCAAAAGCAGAGGATAAGCTGTTCAAATACCTCTTTGGAAACTACCAGAAATGGGTCCGCCCAGTGGAATACCTAAATCAGACGATCCGTGTGAAGTTTGGACTGGCCATCTCCCAGCTAGTTGATGTGGTGAGGATAGAAAAGGACTGGTCATTGATATTGTTTATGAATGTGTGCGACTGAGGTGTTAACAACAGTAGACTACATGAATGTACAACTTAGTAGGGCTGAAAGACATAATACTACTACATTTAAATTGTTGCAAGATGTTTCAACTCAGCTACTTTTTAAATGGAAATTTGAACTGGTTTGTTGTTTCCATTCTAGGATGAAAAAAATCAGCGAATGACCACCAATGTGTGGATGAAACAGGTAAGTAGAGCTATACATCTAACCCATGCAACTGATGCAGCATTACATTTCACCATCATCAGTAAACATAAAGGCTATGTTGTTAGGGTATGGCTTTTACTGTTACTTTATGGCTGTGGAAATACTTTAAATCAACCTCTGGCATACATGACATTTAGACAACCAGTCAGGCTCTCCACAACACTTTTTAATCTGATCTGGTGGCATTTCACCAGTGTGTCACCAGCCTATATGAGTCCTTTCAGCCCTGTGCCCACGCACCAAGCCGCCTCCTCCCCACTCCTGCTCCTGTCAACGTTATTCATGATGTTGAGTGTCCTGTCATGTATCTTATGGATTATCCCCACAGACCAGACTCATTCAGGTCAGTTGCCCCCTTTCACAGTGATGGATTGCATCATGCAAAAGGAGAACTGGAAGGGCAGCAGCCCGAATAGCGATGTCTATCTATCACAGATGTCATTTGCAGAGGGGAAAGAATGTCAGATTTTGTAATTGTATCTTATCTCGGAGGTCACCTTTTTGATTTAATACTGTATTGTTTCACATACGGTCTAAGACCAATCAAATAGATTTGCTTGTTAGCAATCTAATGACAGTACATTTTGTTGTATTTGCTTTATATGTATTCTCCTCTGGAGCTGGGAGAAATATTGCATGCTTGCAAAAAGCACATACAGAGTATACCAATTTAAACAAAACATTTGACATCTTGGAAAATACGCGTATTTGCTTCTTGCTGAGAGTTAGATGAGAAGATTGATACCACTCACATGTCTACTGGCTGTAGCTTCTTAGTGTACAGAAATGAGTGAGTGTCATCAATACTGAATTCTCGCAAATTAGCATATTTTTTTCAAACATGTTTTTTTTATGAGTTTTTATTACACTTTCAATGTTTCCTGTATGTAGGAGTGGATTGACAGGAAACTCAGATGGAACCCTGACGACTATCTGGGCATCACAATTATCCGAGTCCCCTCTGACAGGATCTGGCTCCCTGACGTTGTACTTTATGATAAGTATGTGTCATTATATATATGGAAGGAAATAACATGGATGTCAAGCATTTGATATTTTCCAAAATGTATAGGATGGTCATGACCATACTGATATACTGACAGTACTGTATCATAAAAAATCTTAGAATGATTTCAAAGGACCTATACAGAAGAAAAGTAGAATGAAACTAACTTGTAAAACTCAATAAAATGCGACCACATTAACCTTAAAAGAACAAGCAGTTCTGTATGAAATGGAAGTTCTATAAATGAGTATTATATAAGCTAATGTTATTTTTTTTTAACAGTTCAGATGGGCGTTTTGAAGGTACAGTCACCAAGGCCGTTGTTAAGTATGATGGAACCATATCATGGACACCACCAGCCAATTACAAGTCTGCCTGCACCATTGATGTCACCTTCTTCCCTTTTGATCTCCAGAACTGTTCAATGAAGTTTGGCTCCTGGACATATGATGGCTCCCAGGTGAGTCTCTACTCCGTAGTACATGCTCAGTATATTAGTGTTAGTCATGACCAGTGTTTGACAGAAGATTTCACTCTGTATTTAACAGGTGGACATAATTCTGGAGGACTTCCATGTGGACAAGCGGGACTATTTTGACAACGGTGAATGGGAGATAGTGAAGGCCACAGGCAGCCGTAGTCTGAGGACAGATGGCAGCTCTTCCTATCCCACCATCACCTACTTCTTCATCATCCGCAGGCTGCCTCTTTTCTACACCCTCTTCCTCATCATCCCCTGCATTGGCCTCTCCTTCCTCACTATCCTTGTTTTCTATCTGCCATCTAACGGTGGTGAGAAGATCTCTCTCTGCACCTCAGTTCTGGTGTCGCTCACAGTTTTCCTCCTAGTCATTGAGGAGATCATCCCCTCCTCTTCGAAGGCTATCCCTCTCATCGGGGAGTACCTGGTCTTCACCATGATCTTCGTCACGCTCTCCATTATCATCACCGTCTTTGCCATCAACATCCACCATCGCTCCTCTTCTACACATCATGGCATGGCGCCCTGGGTGAGGAGGATTTTCCTGCATCGGCTGCCTAAGCTGCTGTGCATGCGCAGCCATGTGGACCGTTACGCCACAGGTGGAGTGGCCAGAACAGGAGATCTGAAGGACTCAGCACCTGAACTGACATCTCTCCTCTACACCAGACATAACCTACAAGCAGCTTTGGACTCTATTCGCTACATAACCATGCATGTGGTTAAAGAAAATGAAGTCAGAGAGGTGAGTATTTTGGATTCTCTGTATTAGTACATCCATAAGTAGTAATAAAAATGCAATCGGTTTTGACACCATCCTTTTTTTCTGATATAAAACAAAAAAACAAATTATGACAAAGGCTGTAATAAAACCTCAGGAGAAGGAATACTGTATGTCACTTACTCACCACATAGATGCTCCAAATCTGGCGTAAGCATGACTATTAAGTATGTGTCTAGAGACTGACTTGTGCGTCGTTTTTGTTTCAGGTGGTACAAGACTGGAAGTTTGTAGCCCAGGTTTTGGACAGAATGTTTCTGTGGGCCTTCCTCCTGGTGTCGATTCTGGGCTCTGCTCTCCTCTTCATTCCGGTTATTTACAAATGGGCCAACATCATCGTCCCTAACCATCCTGGAAGTACCCTCTAAGAACCACCGTTCAACTAACCATTACTGGAGGCAAAGCACATTAACAGCTCATTATGGGTCTTATTTGAGATTTGACTGACTGAGATACTGAGATTACCGCTCAGATACGGTCCTGCTCTACTTATCCACCATCACTCTGTAAGCCACAGCTGGGCTCGAGATCAAGCTGCAGACTGGGGACTTCGTTTGCTGAGTATATCTAACAGAGACATGTTTTATTTTTTTTTAGAGAGACTTTGAATTTGAGACAATTGACTTTGTTTAAATGTAAATGAAAAAAATCGATTGATGTACTTCATATGATGAAAAAAGCATGTTTGCCCACATTTCATTCATCAATAAATTTCAATACTTTCATTTCACGAACTATAATTGCTGGCATCAAAGAGTGGAAATGTATCTTTTGGTCTGGCCAAATGTTCTCACAGGATCATTTAGGATAAATGCCTCACTAACTACCCTCATGTTCATGCCAGTTACAGGATAAATACCAATTCAATTCAATTAAATCCAATACACAGTGATGGGGTATAATTCAAATAAAATGGGTTGTTCAACTTTGATTTTCCTAAGTTCTATTTTCATAAATCACCCTCACATATCCTGGCATCAGCATCAGTCTGGAAAGTTCTTAAAGTTTCTGGAGAAGTGCACACAAGTCAGACACTACTATTTAGGGACACACCTGGTTTAATAGTTTCTCTCTTCACTCTACTAGGCTGTGCGTGGGAAGGAGAGATTCTTGCCAGCACTTGTATTTCTAAGGCATTAGTTGCTTTCAACCTGAGGAAAAATCCTGCATTCTTTATTAGGCCTGTAAGACAAATCTTGGTAAAAGATCAGGACAGAGATACTGTGGGTCCCGGATGTTTTTAGCCTACTGTAGCTTAGCACAAAGACGTACCTCCATCAAATGTGAAACATAGGTCCTGTGACAACTCCAAAACTGTCTTGTTATTTGATTGATGTGCATGCAGATGATGTCATTTCGAGAAATGTAATAAAGGAGCCGTATTTACTACACCTCCATCCACATGTGCAAGAACCAGGAAGTCTCTCTGTACTCCAGCAGCTGAGCAGCACACCCTCTGTTGAGCCTGCACTGCCCCTGCATGGCCATGTCTTTACATTACAGCTGAAAAAATCAACAAAGGCACCATCAGCATGGACATGGTGGTGACTGTAGCCATGGAATGTGGACATTAAAGTTACTACTACACTCAATATAAAGAGATTATAAATATAATCATAATAATAATATTATAATATATATTTAAACGAAACAAAGATGGATGAGAAGAATAAAGGGAGTAGAAATTCAGAAGAGTCTAGCAGAAAGTGAAGGCTCATTTTCATCTGTTTCTTGGCTCAGACACTTCCTTCATACCAGCCCTCTTCATGTTTTCTGTCTTGTTTTTACCTGTCTCCTTTTTTATAAGATGTGGAAAAAGGTTTTTGCATGGAATTCAAAACAGTGGAAAACTTCTGAGGCAGAAAAAAACACCATTACATTCAATTCACGTCTGTATATTGGATTAGTCATTTACTCTGAGGCAAAAATAAATGCAGTCTTTATTGCAGTTAGTGCTACTGATGGAGTGTCTTTTCTTATCAGATACGGCCATTGAACTCTCTGGTTGAACCTAAAATAAGAGTGCACTCTGGTAATTGTACCACTGGCTGCTTATTTTGATCTGAGGAACACAACACTATTTATTATATTATTTATATATACCACCTTGACTTTTTCACGAAGGATCAAAGGCTGTCAATCTTAATCGGGATTTTGTGTGAACATACCTTTGAAAATCCTCCACTAAAAAGAGCATGTTGTTGATTATAAATATGAAACACTGACAGCGACATACTACTTCATATAAGGATAAGAATTCACATAGGGAGGTACTAATAAGCAACTGTAACACATTTCTGTCAACTGCTTCAACAAAGGGGCCCCCTTGTTGTCTAATCTAGAAGAAAAAAGTCCAAATAACAGCTTATCTGTAATCCACTTATGTAAGCTTTCCTGGAATTTGCAGTTGAGCATTCAGTTGGATCTTCGGTGTTTCACTCTGACATCTGAGCACATGCATGCCCGGACCTACTTCATGTAAAACAGGTATGCTACAGATCAACCTTGCATCTAATTTTATATCACAGAATTTGTTTTAATGTAAAAAAGTGTTAAATGTATTATTTGGCATTTATTGTTAGTTTTCTTATCCAGAGTGATTAAGCATGAAGATTTATTTGTTTACTTCCTTTCAGATTAAAGATGCGCCCCCAAGGAAATGCAACTTTTCTTTTCTTATTATCTATCTTGTCATGGAGAGTTTGTCATGGAGGGAAGATTTTGATAGTTCCTTTAGAAGGAAGCCACTGGGTGAACATGGACATCATGATCAAAGCTCTTCACTCTCGAGGACACTCTGTTGATGTGGTACGAACCAATCAAAGCTGGTACATCCATGACGAATCTCCGCATTACAAGACAATCACAGTTCCAGTCTCTGAAGCCTTTAATCATGACTTTATCAACCCAATCCTGATAAAGATCATTGATATAGAAAGGGGAGAGAGCTCATTTTTTAGCTTTGCCAGTTTGCAGCTTGAGATGTTTACTGCAATGTTTAACATGCATAGAATAATGTGCAAAATGGCTACTAAGATGTTTACAGATAGAGACTTAATGAATAGTTTAAAGGAGAGTAAGTATGACATGGTCCTTACTGACCCGGCATGGGGTGCAGGTATAATGTTGGCTCACGCTCTTAAAGTACCTCTGGTCTATAACGTGCGATGGACAACTAGCGGAGAGGGACATCTGGCCCTTGCACCTTCTCCTTTATCTTATATCCCAATGACTGGCTCAGGACTGACAGACAAAATGACTTTCATACAAAGAGTCAAAAACCTCATTTTCTATGTCATTTGGCAATTTCAGGATCGATTTTTAATCAGCCCTCAGTATCAAGCTGTTTGTGATAAGTTTTTCGGCCCAGAAGTCAGATATAGTAACTTATTACAGGGAGCAGATCTGTGGCTCATGAGAGCAGACTTTGTGTTTGAGTTTCCTCGCCCCACCATGCCTAATGTTGTCTATATGGGAGGGTTCCAGTGTAAACCCTTCTACCTGAACACCTGGAAGTTTTGCAGAAGTTCTGTTAGAGCATGGGAGTCATCATCATGTCTCTGGGACGTTTGTTCCTGCTGATATAACAAACGAGATCGCTGCTACTTTTGCTCAATTACCTCAGAAAGTGATCTGGAGGCATAAAGGTGACAGACCCGCAACTCTGGGCAACAACACTTTAATAGTTGACTGGATGCCACAGAATGATCTTTTAGGACATCCTAAGATAAAAACTATTTGTGGCTCAGTGGAGGAACAAATGGCGTGCAAGAGGCTATTTATCACGGAGTCCCAGTTTGTGGTCTGCCTGTGTTTTCGACCAATACGGACAACCTGCTTGCGTCTGAAGAAGAGAGAGGAGCAGTCAGAGTTCTCACATTAGCCACAGTGGGACAAAAAACAACAACTTCCTGAAGGCCATACAGAAGTCCTGAATGAGCCCTCTTACAGGTATGAACATGCAGAGACTCTCCAGGCTGCACAGAGATCAGCCAAGACGCCCCTGGATAATGCCCTCAGAGTTTGTCATGAGACACAAAGGTGCAGCTCACTTGAGAACAGAGTCCTACAGACTGCCCTGGTATTCCTACCACTCTGTGGATGTAGTTCTGTCTTTTCTGACTACTGTTGCAGTGATTATTTTTCTACATCTTGTGTTTTTCCGGAGTGTATCTCTTGGGAAATTCTCGACAAGGAAAACAAATGAAAAATGATGAATGAATGAATGCAAATTTCTGTAACTCTGTGCTGCTCTTTCTACATAACATGTTTAGGATCAATTAACTGAAAATAGAGGTTTAATTTAAATCTGTCACAAGTCTGAATTATTTCTGAATGTAAAGCCTGCTTCAATAGCATCAATTTCTTCAAATTTCCATGAAAAAAAAAAAGATTCAACTATAAAACAGATATGTCCACTGGCTAATCCCCCCTGAGGTGCAGCAGGGGAAATACGGTTGGGTTGCATATCTGAGCCTTCACTGAATAACAGGAATTTGTTCTTCCATTTTTTCCATGCAGGATAATGGTATGTTGTGTGAGGCTCTTTCCAAAGCCATGTAAAAATGAGAACAGGCCAACCCCTTCCAAGGAAGGGCAGGGTGAAAACCAGTGTGACATAATCCAGATTCAGGTTTAGCATGCACAGCAAGCATTTAGAAGTGCTGACTAGAAGTTAACAGAGAACTTTGCTACGTGATTACAAGTTGGTTTTCATGGCAGGCTGGCAATACTGCAATCACTCATTATGAGATACAATTTTATTACATTTTCAATCTGGATAGGTTTCCTCCAAAAGAAATTCTCATGATGACTTCACATGTTCAGAATGGAAAATTACAGTGAAAAACTGTATAGCAAGCAAAACAAAAAGGTTAACATGGCTCTCGGTGTGCAGCACTGCACACATCTGCTCCCTATTTTTGATGACAAAGTAGTAACTTCACTCTTTCCATCAGCTCCGCCTTGTATTTCCCACAGGAGCTGCAGCACTAATGAGAGAGGGGAGGAAAGCAGCAGTGACAAATATACTGGATGCTCCTCTTGAGTGGTAGCTCATCAGCTGAAGAACATGCTAAGTCATTACAGTCAGTACTAGTGATGGAGTGCCTTTCTTATCAGATCCGGTCATTAAACTCTTTGGTTAAACTTTCGTAAGGGTACACTCGGGTAAAAGTGGGTGCAGGCAGCTACTATAGATTACTGACTAGACAGTGTCTAATCATTACAAAAAGAGAAAACAAAGACAGAGGGTGAGAGTGCAATTCATTATCCATGTGTAACATGGATATTGGGTAAGACCCTTTTGATGCTGTGTTTAGGTAAATCTGCTCTTTATACACAGACCCTAATCCCCACATGCCTATGTAGTGTTCCAAAACCCAAAGCCTCAAAATAAATAAATACATTTATTTAAACCTTTTTAAAGAAGCCTACGAGTGTTTAGTCTATAATTTGATAATGGCAAGACTGAATATTTCTATTTATATTTTTTAGTTAAAACAACGTAAGTAATTAAGCTTTTATTCTGTAGCTGTAGTCATCAGAACTACATTTACTTAAGCTTACTTAAGCAAACTTGTTGCATACTAAACATGGTATAATTTAGTGTTTGAGGACTATGGAAGTAAAATTATCCAATATTTCACAAATAATCAAATAATACAGATTTGTGTAGCAGATCTTTTTCATTCTACAAAAGGAAAATGTTTTTGCATTGATGCATCAGTATTAATCTAGAAATTAAAGTATAATAATGTAGCACTGAGGAGGGCTTTTTTTCCCCTCCAGAACCTTTTACCATTTATATTTCCAGTAGTCTACATTTAGCTACTTTTGTACCCTTTACTTAAGTAGAATTTTGAATGCAGGACTTTTACTTAGATTGTGGT